CCCCCAAGGAATCTCATATTCTTGAGTAGAAGAGTGGGGCACAGATTTATATCTGTTTTGTCTGCTTTGACCTGTGCCAGCGTCCTAGCTTAACTCCTGGCTTTGTTTGGAGCACCAGAGAGTGAGCCATTTGAGGGTAAAACAAAACAAAAACCCTTTGCCATCAAGTTGATTCCAACTCGTAGCCACCCTGTAGGACAGTATAGAAAGGTTTCCCAGACTATTGATCTCGACGGAAGTTGACTACCCCATGTTTCTGAGGAGCAGCTGCTGAGTTCAACCTGTCGACCTTTCGGTTAGCCCCCCGCCTTGTGCCAGTACACCCCCAGTGGTCCTGCCATTTGAAAAGTAGACCTTGCTTTACCTGATCGTTCCTCAGCACGGTTGGTGCCTTTTTTTTTTAATTCCTACCTGGTTGTCTTCATAATTGTTGGTGCAGTGCCCTGCAAAGAGCTTACAGCTTCGGTAATCCTGGAAAACTCTTGCTAAGGTTCCCATGGGGTTTTCTCATTTTCAACCACATGGGGGGATCTCTGAAGAGCCTTTGTGGCCGGTGTTGTCTATCTGCATATGACTCAGTGGTGATGAAGGCGTGTTGGTGGTGCAATGGTTAAGCGCTATGCTGTGAACCCGAACGTCGGCAGTTAGAAGCTATTCCGCAGGAGAAAGCCGGAGATTGGTTCCCATGGATGCTAGCCTGGAAACCCCTCTGGGGCACTTGGCTGCCTGTCACGCGGTCACTGTGAGTTGAAAATCAACTTAAGGGCACCTAACAGCAACAGCAGTAATAAGCCTGCTGCCTGGTCACCTGGAAAACGTGCCTTGAAACCATTAGGGGCAAGTGGTGTATTGTAAACATTGTCCCTAGAGTTTTGTGTCACGTAACTAATAGCGCAAATGGATTCAGGGCGACTGTTTACAGAGTTTGTACAGTATCATTTTGGTGTGGTATGCCCTTGATGCGATTCCAACTCCTCCTGACCATATGTGACAGAGTGGAACCGCTCCATACTGTTTCCTTGGTTGTCATCTTTAGGAGAGTAGATCATGAGGCCTGTGCTCCCTCGGAGCTCACTGCTCACAGCCAGGCCGTGACGCTCATTCTGACTCACGGTGACTCTACAGGACAGAGTCAAATTGCTTTCTCCTTTGCATTTCCGAGATTGCAAATCTCAACAGGAGCAGACAGCCTCATCTTTTCACCCGTGGAGCTGGGGGGTGGGGTGGGGCGGGGCTCCTGGATTTGAACGGTTAACCTTGTGGTTAGTTAGCAACCTGATGGGCCACCAGGGAGCCACTGGATAGGTTCAAACTGCCAACCTTTCAGTTAGCAACCCTGTGTCTAACCATTGTGTCACTCAGGCTCCTTGGAATAAGCATTGCGTGAGATCATTTCTATGATCTCATTTAATATTTACAGCAACCCTATGAAACGGGCACTGTTATCACCCATCTTCATTTGTCACCCACCCTTCTCCATCTTCTGAAGATGGAAATGGAGTCTTGGAGAACTTTGGTAACTTGCTCAGTGCCTCCCAGTGAGGAGTAGAGCCAAGACTCCCAAACGAGATCAGTTAGACACTAAAGAATTGTCTATGAAAAAAGGGTTGCTAAACAGAGATAAATGGGAGCCCCATCGATCCAAATGCTTAAAATGCCCTTATTAGATACGGTGA